TTTCTTGTTTAGGAAACATCCTTCAAAGGAATTTATTGCACCATGTCATCTGAGCTCAAGATCAAGCTTTCCGACATTACATAAAGTCATGTTTGTGGCCGTATGTGGGCCGCTTCCCTTAGAAATAAATTTTAAAAGGGAATATGGAAATCTCAGCCTTGGCTCTTGGATGAGGTACTGCAGAGAACCAGACTGTTTCTACATGGAGGCTTTGCTGCACCCTGGCTCTCAAACTGGAGCAGTGTTCTCCGGAGCAATCAGACAACATTGTCTTACAGCTCTTCTCCTTCCATTGCCTTCTGTGGTTACCCTACGTAGCTCCAGTTGTTCCAGAACATCAGAATCAAAGTGGATTTGCCCACATTGTTGACTGGAGGGTGTGGATTTTCAAATATCCCTGCCCACATCCACTGTCTTTTTCGATTCTGTCTTTTTGATGCCTGCCACTCACACATACCCTGCTGTCAATGGGTTTTTCTTTGCTTAAAAAAATTGATATATAGCATCATAACACTATAGAGATGTACCTACTATTCACTTTTTTTTAAAAAGTGGGCAAAAGGCCTCAGCTGTGGCGGGTGGGATGGGGAATGGTGGGTGCAAAGGAATAGGGAGGGAAGAACAGGGCCTTGCCCCATGTGGAGGAGGAGGAGGAGGAGGAGGAGCAGATTGGATTTATATCCCGCCCTTCACTTGGAGTCTCAGAGCGGCTTACCAACTCTTTTCCCTTCCCCTCCCCACAACAGACACCCTGTGAGGTGGGTGGGGCTGGGAGAATTCTGACACAAACTGCTCTTTTTCAAGGACGGCTGTGCCAGAGCTTGTGACTGACCCAAGGTCACATCAGCAGGTGCAAGTGGAGGAGTGGGGACTCAAACCCGGTTCTCCCAGATTAGAGACCGCACACTTAACCACTACACCAAACTGGCCAGTGAATGCTCCATTACTGCTACAGCTGCCTCTCCATTTGCAGCAGTGATGAGTCCACAATGGGGAATGATCCTGCATGGAAGCAGCACCAGTTGAAGTTGCCACACTTGAGCCCATTTGTGGCATATATGGTAAAAAAAGGTAAAGGTAAAGGTTCCCTTGCTCGAAAACCAGTCGAATCCGACCCTAGGGTTGCGGTGCTCATCTCCGTTTCAAAGCCGAAGAGCCAGCGCTGTCCGAAGACGTTTCCGTGGTCATGTGGCCGGCATGACTAAACACCAAGGCGCATGGGACTTGGGTATAAAAATGTACCTGAGTTTGAATGGGGAAAATGCACTCATGCCGCTTCCAGTTTTGAATTGTGTGCACATATTTCAGTGATCAGGTGTTCCCTTCCTTAAGCAGAGGCACGTCACTGAAGAGAGGAGTTTTGTTTCCATGGTTGTTGCAGAGGAATGGAGTCACACGAAGCTGCCTCATGCTGCATCAGACTCTTCGTCCATCAAAGTCAGTGTTGTCTGCTCAGCCTGGCAGCAGCTGTCCAGGGTCTGAGGCAGAGGTCTTTCAGATCACCTACTGCCAGATCTTTCAACTGAAGATGCGGGGGATTGAACCTGGGACTTTCTGCATGCCAAGCAGATGCTCTTCCACTGAGTCACAGTCACTCCCCTCCTCTCATAAATGCACACGTAGTATTTACAGCCGAAAGTCAAGGCTGACCCAAGGGACAAAATTTGCTGCCTGAGGAACAAAAATCAAAGGCACCCCCCACATCCAGATTAACACAAGGCACAACAGCACTCCTGTTCATTTTGGTGGGGCTTTTGTTTTGCAGGAGATCTTGCAGATGGATTGCACCCTGGAGGTAGAGTTGCCAGCTGTGGGTGGGGAAATCGTGGAGATTTGGGGGATGGAGACCGGGGAGGTCAGGATTTGGGGAGGGGAGGGACCTCAGCAAGGTACAATGGCATACAGGCCTCCCTCCAAAGCAGCCATTTCCTCCAGGGGAACTCATGTCTGTCATCTGGAGATCAATTGTAATAGCAGGGGATCTCTAGGTCCCACTTGGAGGCTGCCAGCCCTACCTGGAGAGCAGGTTGCTCTGTCGGTTGTCCTGTTGCTTCTAATCCACCCACCCTTCTGCATTTTGTATTTTACTATTTTAAACTCTTGATACTTCTTAACTTCCTGAAGGACTTGGGTCATTAATCTCCTTCGCAGTTCCGGGGGAGAGGCGGTCTCAGGGGAAGTGGAGAGGAAAACCGAAAGAGCTGACCCCGGACCGCAGAAGCGGCCAATGCAGGAATCCAGCTTTGGGTTGAATGGCACCCCCCTCCAATGCTGTGGAGTCTTGTGAGCAAAAATTCCACTTTGTGAGCAACTGGCATTAAAGTTGTGAGCGAGCGATTTGGCCCCTGCATAAATTAGTTTGCTCTGGAGCCCTCCTTCCTGCGCTAAGACAAAAATGTGTGGCCTGGAGGCTAAAAAACTGTGAGCTAGCTCACACTGACTCAGCTTAGAGGGAACACTGCCCCCCTCCCCCTTTGGGAACCCCTCCATAGTGTGAACAAGCGCAGTCTTGAGCAGTCAGATGCTCCAAGCCAGACCAGGCTGAAAAGGAGCATCAAGCCCCACTTGTGGTCTCCAGCCTCATATTGGCTGAGGAAGGATTCCAGGAAGATCTGCCTGGGAAGGGTGGTAAAAAGTCACTTAATGACAGTCTGCAGTGATATATGTGCAGGGTGGGGTAGGTCGGCAGTCAGGAAATTCTGGAAGCGGGGTGGGGGGGGGAACACCTTGTGTGGTGTGTTCGAATGGGGGGGGTGAGCCACATTGCTGATGATAACAATAGTTTCTTTGTGAAACAACTTCAGAGTGCTGTAGGAGCAAGCCTTGGAGCTACACAGGATTCTTCTTCAGGCGCGGATGTCAAAGCAGGAATAATTGACATAAAACCAAGTAGATGATACCAAGTTGGTGTTGAAAATTCTGGGTGCATAATCCAGATCACTGAGCCTGCCTCAGCGAAGGTTCGGATGTTCTGTCTTGTACTCCCTAACTCCAAATGTGTAGAGCTGGCTGTACTTATCCAGCATTGAGAAGATGATACTCTGCACCTGCTCAGAGGCATGCTTTTTGTTACTATTATTTCACACATTGAAAGACTGCACGCTACCCTTCAGAACCAGTTCTGAGGGTGAGGGTTCATTCTAGATAACAAACATTTAGAACATAAGAGACGCCAATGTTGGATCAGGCCAAAGGCCCATCCAGTCCAACACTCTGTGTCACACAGTGGCCAGAAATACCAGTGCCATCAGGAGGTCCACCAGTGGGGCCAGGACATTAGAAGCCCTCCCACTGTTGCCCCCCCCCCAAGCACCAAGAAGACAGAGCATCACTTGCCCCAGAGCCCCTATCTATACCTTGTGGCTAATAGCCACTGATGGACCTCTGCTCCATATGTTTATCTAATTCTCTTTTGAAGCCGTCCGTGCTTGTAGCTGCCACCACCTCCTGTGGCAGTGAATTCCATGTGAATTCCATTAATCACTCTTTGGGTGAAGAAGTACTTCCTTTTATCTGTTCTAACGGAAGAAGGACCCCCCCCCCCCACCTTGCCTTTCCCCAGCTCACAAGCTGTGTTCCAGAAAATGAACTGCAGTCCCCCAAGTGTGCAACCGGGAAGTAAATCTGGGGCCAAAAAGTCTCCTCACCCTGGGCAGGGCAGGATGAGGCAGCAGTGGCTACACAAAGGCAAACAATAGGGAAGCAAATCCCATATTGTTCAGCCCCAGTGGCTGGTATGAGCTCTTTTTGTTGGGTCACTCTCTCTTTTTTTCCAAAATCCTGGGAACCAGCAGGACCTGGTTTCTCTCCTCACTTGTTTCCTTGTCATTTTCTCTGCACAGCAAACACAAAGCCCTTTCTGCCTACACAGCCACCTCCTTCAGGCTGGGGCCGGAGTAGAGAGGGCTGGAAACTTGAACTCCTGGGTTCCCTTGAAGGAGGACAGTAGGGGAAAGGGGTTGAGTTAGTCAGGATCTCAAAACAGTGGCTAGGAGGTGGGGAGAGAGGTGCAATAGCTCAAGCTTGCTTAGATGTCATCATCCAGTCCTGGAAAACTTTTTCCCATCTAGTTATTTAATTAAATATTTCTGTATTGCCTTTCCCACCAACTATAGCAGGGGAAGGATGTGTGATTCAAATCTCAGAAAAAAGCACTCTGCATGTGTTCAGATAACTTTTTTCTTTGTCAGTTTGCATCCTTCAGGGTTGAGCTTTGACTCTGCAAATAGGTTTTGTGATGTTTATTATGCCCATTTTACAGACTGGAGGAGAGTGACTGAGGCCAAGAGAGGGACATGCTCCAGTGCATGGCACATCCGTGGCAAAGATCGGCCTTGAACGGAGCCTCTCGGATACAGAGTAGAGCCCATGGTTAACTTGAGCCAAGGCTTAGCCCCAGAACTCAGTTTTAAAGCCCTCTGCTCCGGAATAGGATGCCTTTTTAACATCTCTTTCTCTCTCCTTGTAGTAAGCAAACACTTGAAACTAAGGGCCAAGAATTCCAGGTCAGGGAAAGTAATTTCCAAGGAGGTTTGAGCCCCAGCCCCTCTTTTCCTGTCTTTAAAAAAGAAAAGAAAAAAGAACTAACCTTTAGATAGACCCCAGAAACTGCATAGCCCATCCCTGGCTGAAAAGAGAATTCAGGTGTTCTGGCACTCTGTTGTTGTTACGCTTGTCCCCTAGACATTGCTCTCTTTCCTGGAGCTGGACCTGGAACCCAGGCATCCTGAGCCCTATTCAGTAATAGCCTTGGCTAACCCCCAATGCTGAGATTTGCTAGTTTCAGACTGTTGCACTCTGTGTGTGTGTGTGTGTGTGTTTGTTTGTGGGCAGGCTGCCCAGCCCTCCCCCTCCCATGCGTAGTTGGGCTAAGGGCATTGCTGCGCGCGCACTCTTACCTTTCAGAGCAGCCCAACCTGTTTTTATGTAAATTGCCCGGGCCCTCCCTCTTTCCCTCCCTTTGCCTGAGAGGGGGCAGTAAACTCCCTTGGAACATTCACACCAAAGTGCTGAAGATTACCTTCCTGCTACCTGGGCCCAGCTGCAGCTGGGGGGGAGCCTGCAGTGGTGATCCAGAGGGGGGGGGGTGCCCCAAGCCCCAAGGATGTACCAGTCTGAACCAGAGCTGATGGAGGAAAGCCAGAGCCCTCCTCCGATGCCTCATGAGCTGTCCCCAGCAGCCTTCATCAACGCTATACAGTACGCCAATGTGTTGGAGGGCAGGTTCAAGCAGCTTCAAGGTAGGTGTGTGTGTGGGGGGGAGGCTGGGTAGAGACACGGGGGGAAGCAAGTTGGCAGTGAGAGAGGCTCCCCCCTTCCCCATCTTCCTGGTCAACGCGAGCCATTGGGGACAGGAGCTCTAATCCTCAAGGTGCTGCCAGGAATTAGCTAAACGCATGCTGGGTTTGCAAGGGGTAAAAAACAGTGGCATGGCTGAGATTCTTTGGGGCCATGCCTAGGTGCCCCCTGCCTGTAGTGGAGGAAGGAGGAGGGATGGAGAATACAAGATCCTGGTCTGGGAACTGGGAGCAGCAAAGGCACCCTCACGTTCTGGAGGATAAGGTCAGGCTCGGGTGGGAAGGGAGACTTTTGACAAGAGAGAGAGAGGAAGGGCAGAAACATGAAAGGGCTGTTCAGTGTGGCATGCAGAAGAGAGACCTGTAGGAAGAGGCACAAAGATGTACCTCTGAACTGTCCTACATGCAGGAAGCCCCATTTCTCTCCCCGGTCATACTACAACCTGTATCTTTCTCCCCATACGTCTGCTCACTCTAGCAAACTCTTGAAGTGGCAGGCACAAGATCCTCATACTTCTTCAAGGTAATTCACAGGCAATAAGGACCTTTTCCTCCCCTGCAAATCATGGATATGAATCACCCTATAAGCAAAGAATTAGCCAGTGGCATTTTCTCCAGATTAGTTCATACAGAGTATTGTTTGTTGCCCTAAACATGTTTCAGGAAAGGGACTCTACAGTATTCCTCTGAGTCCAGAGCCCCAGTGCATTCACCCCAGTGTACCTCCCACTTGCGTAAATGCATATCAAAAGACCAATTTCTTTCTTTAAAAAGCAGCTGTCCTAGGTGGGCTTCAAGTCCAGCTGGCACCCCCTTTAGTATGACGGTGGAGTGGGTGGAGAAGGTGCTGACAGTGGCCTTGAATTTGCAATATTGGGGGGGGGGGTTGCTTGTTTTTTTAAAGAAATCTAGATATATAAATGTATAGCCTGCACCTAGTGTTCAGCTGGTTACCAGGTATCCCTGCATTTGGGGGAGAATGTAAATGCAAGGAGGGTCCTAGTGGAGAATTTAAATTGAGTTGCAAATTGGATCCTGTGACATTAAGAGGACATAGAACTCCTGGGTTCTACTCCCATTTCTGGAATGTTTTATTCATTTTAGCCTTGTTTGTCTATTTATTTATTTGGGCGTTTATGACCTGCCTTTGTCCCAAAGGGGCTCAAGGTGGATTAAGGCGTGATATGAAAAAATATCACCTAAACAATATTAAAACCAATAAACAGCTCTCAAACACATAGTCAGCGATTGTCTAATTTAACTCTGTAAACAATTACTGACTTAAAAAGAGTCTCCTAAATAATTCTGCCTTCCAGTGGCGCTGGAATGTTAACGTGAACACCATTTCTCAGTTCTGGTGTCACAACCATAAAAGCTCTAGTCTGAACTTGGCAATGTCTGAATCTGCTTACAAGTTGGAGGTCTGACACAGGTCTTGGCCTGACTGAGGAACAAAGTTGCTTATGCAGGAAGGTATTAGGAGAAGCGGTCTTGCAGATAGGAGGATCTCTGGCTAGTCAGTCCTGTGATATGTGAACCAGATACTAGTAAAAGGGCTGCCTCTGAGTCTGTACAAAGTGCTTTTTACCACCAAATCACTAAGCACCGTCTGGCATACATCTGCTAACAGAGAACAGTGCTTCTGTGAGATGGCCATATGGTGGTGGGCTTTGAACTTCACTACCTTCCCTTGAATAAACTGATCAACAAGTGGGGTTTAAAAGACTGGATTTCAGGACAACTGGGTTTGGTTATGACATCTGGGGGAAGAGGAGAGAAGGATCTTCTGGGTTACAACAGGAGGTGGCAGCTCTGAGACAGGACTCTTGGGTTTAATTCTCTGCTCTAGGGATTGGGGGAAGAGAGGGTGGTAAGACACTGGAATCAGCATTTTTAGGGAGGGGTTTTGCCTGTGCTGGATTAGGGCAATGTGACTGGCAACAGAGATTCCTTTCATCTGGGGTCAAACAAAAAATAATAATAATGAAAAAGAACAAAAGAGGTCTCTGGCATTTTAAGGGCTAACAGATTTACAGTGCCAGAAGCTTTTGTGAACTGGAGCCTGTTTGATCATATGCATACAGTTTTATTCTTTGTCTGCAAATAGAGACACGGATACAGAGAAAAATGACTGATTTGACAGCAGTGGGGCCAAAACAGCATGCAACGCTAGGGTGGTAGCTGGTCTGTGACCTTTTAAGGCAGGTTCCAAATTCATACAAAATAAGAAAGGAGGGATCTAATTTACAAAAGCAAATGGGAAGTTATGCTAACCTTCGATCACAGTTTTGGTTTCTTTCTCACTGAATGCCTTTGGTGGGAACAAAACCAAAATTGTGATTGAAGTCCGTAAGAACATAAGAAGAGCCATGCTGGGTCAGACCAAAGGCCCATCAAGTCCAGCTTTCCTTTCATATAGTCGCCATAGGATATAGTGATGCATTTAATAGAATTTGCTGATAACTAGGAACTCCATGCTAAAGTTTCCCTTGGAACTTACTTAAAAGAAGATTGGTGACTTCTAGGTCAGCACCAGAATTGTTCCGCCACTGACTTTTCTGAATGCCGACCATTTTTGATATCACGCTAGGATCCATTTATTCTCTTGTACAGAAACTAACTTCTTTGTCCTAGCAAAAGGGACATTGTTGGCAGTTTAGCATATATATTGCATTCGGGGATGAGCTGGTGAACGAGCCCCTGATGGTATGGCTAGAGGTGCCAGCTCTGGGTTGGAAAATACCTGGAGACTTTGGGGGGGGGTGGAGCCAAGAGAGGGCGGGGTTTAGGGAGGGGAGGGACCTCAGCATGGTACAATGCTATAGACTCCACCCTTCAAAGCAGCCATTTTCTCCAGGGGAGCTGATCTCTGTCGCTGGAGATCAGTTATAAAAGTGGGAAACCCCCAGGCCCAACCTGGAGGCTGGCAGCCCTAGGTATGTCTGATATGATCCGGTCCTGTCATAGTGTTGCCTGTGGGTATAAAAATATTACCACAAGAGGACAGTAGCAGCTTACAACACCCTTGGATAGGTGGTTGTGTAACGGTAGCGATGTGTGGTCAAGTACCTTGAGTGGGTTTGGGGACAGACACAGTTGGCATCTCTGCTTGTGCTGCTGGGCCTAGTCCCCAAGTTTATGTCTGTTCAGAGCAGTCTGTAGTTGCTGCTTGGTAGTAGCCATTTTATGATAAGATTGGCCTGTAAGCAAGAAGAGGCCTACCCTTTCCCTCCCTCAGGCCTGTGTGAGAGAAATTATCGTTGAGATTTTTTTCCCCCAGAGGCTGGGGTGTGTGTTGTTGTTGTTGTAGGTTATGGAGCAAGTGGGACTCATCTTAGACAGCCACCATATCATAAAGGGCTACTCAGGAACAACAACGGCTGATCTAAGAGAGGCACAAACGCAGACACAAGGCCTTGTGGTTGAACCTTGTCCTTGGTCTGGTTTCCTAATCTAATGCCTGGGAGCCAGGGCTGTAGGGGTTCAGTTTAGGGCTGCACGGCAACAACAGCATGGGAAATTCCTGGAGATTTGGGGCTGGAGCCTTGGGGAAGGAAGGAAGGCAGCATTTGGGGAGGACAGGGACCTCAGCAGGGCCGGGATGCCATCAAGTCCACTCTCCAAATCGACCGTTTTCTCCAGGGGAACCGATTTCTGTCGTCTGGAGATCAGCTGTGATTCAGGGAAAACTCCAGGCCCCACCTGGAGGTTGGTAGCCATCGCTTCAGTCTCAGCCTCCAGCAGGGGTTAAAGTCCAAGGGTGATAGTGGAGTGTAGTTCGCATGCAACCGAGACTCATTCTCTGAAAACACTCTGTGTCTCAAAAGCATTCCCCATCAGTTGGGGCTCTTCCATCCAGGCTTGGGGATGGCACAGCAGCTCTGCTCTGGCATGTCTCAGTGACTCAGGGACAGGGCAGGCTGAACTCATTGCCGCCGCCGCCCCCCCCCCCAATAGCTGTCTCTACATGCACCACATGTGTAATGGGCTGGGGCAGAGGAGCAGCAGCTGCCTGGGCTGCAGGGCAAATGCCAGCCGTGCAGAAGACCATGAATAAATACAAATCCAGAGTGAGGCAAGCAGCATGCAGCCTTACCTGAGCCAGACATCCCCCCCCTCCCCCAAAAAACTATTTTGCAACCACAGGCAGGGTCTGACACTAGAAAATGTCAATTGGTGAACATAAAGAAGAGAGCTCTGCTGAGCATATACAGAGAGCATTTCCCTTACCGCTTTCCCCAGCTTTCTGTCCCTCTTCTCCAGAACAGTGGGGGATAAGAGATTCCATGCCCTCTATGCTTTTTAAAATCACCCTGGAGCCAAACACCTGATGTTTTTAGCACTGTATGCAAACTTTGGGTGGGGGCAGAGATACAGGGGTCATCTGAGTTCTCTGCTTAAAGCAATTTGAGAGACTCTGTGTCCTGTGTGGTAAGACAAGACTACTAATTTTGTTGTTGTTCTGTTGTTCCTTTCTGGAACTAAGCTTAAACACCCCGGAGCTTTTTATCCCCACCCCCAACCAACAGTCTCCACTCTTGTTTCCTGTCTCTGGAGAGAACCCAGGTGTTCTGGCCCCCAATTACTGCTCTTCAGGCGCTAGACTCTCTACTGTCAAAGCAGGGAGGGAGGACCTACAACCCAAGCTTGAAACAGAGGAAAGGATTGCCCTTCTCTCCCATGGCTTTTTCCTTTAGTAGCTGTGCGAGAAGTAAAAATTCAGCAGGTGACGTTTCCCCTGCATTGTGGAGATGCAGTACTGAGAAAATCTTAACTAGTTGAATTGGGTTTTTTTTTGCTCCCTAGGAGTTCTTAAAGATTAGGGGCAGGAGGGAGTTGCCCATTATGGTCGGGATCCTTGAAGAGAGGAATCCAAGTGATGCGGTACTAAGAACTAAATGCAGGTTCTGGATTGTTGACTGAGACGAATTGTTTTGACAGTA